TCATTTTGGAACATAAAATTGTGATTAAATATTAACATTTGATTATTTTAGATTGTAACTGAAGAGATATTTAAGGGCCATAAAGGACTAGGCCTTATTGATTTCAATAATGAACAATATCCATTTTCTCATGCTTTTCAATTTAACATTTTAAAAGAAAGTACCTATGGTGCTTTTAAGCAAATGGTCTCTGCAAAGTTCGAAATTCCTATTGACAGAATAAAGTTTTGGGTGATTATAAATCGATCTAATAAAATTAATAGGCTACATGAGCTTGTGACGGATGATTTTCTTGATAAATGTGAGTTATTCTTACATTATATAATTACTAGTTTATCTTTTAGTTTTCTCATAAAATTAGTTATCATTACTAGCAATGGAAGATGTCAAAACGGAGTTAGTAAAACACGATGGCGAATTGGTGTTATATATGGAAGTGTTGGAAAATGTAATCTAATATGAATTTCTATAAGCCATTTTTCTCTTGGAAAACGCGTAAACTTATTTGTTAATTTTTATGCAGGATGAGCCTTCACAGGATAATATGATTATCGTCTTTCTTAAATATTTTAATCCAGAAGCACAATTATTAGAGTATGTAACTTTAAATATACTTTGCTGTATGTAGACATGTATGTTATTAAATTAATGCAGCCTTTATTCATATGAATAGAGGCCTTGGTCACTTGCGTGTTCAAATACATAGTAGGATTGATAGTATCTTTCCTATTATCTGTGATAAGACAAAGTTACCACCTCAAACACGTTTTGATGTATACGAAGTGAGTTAATTATGTTGACTTTTACACAACTTTTAGAGTTCATGTCAACCTCTAAAGTCCTTAAGATACTTATATATAATTTTATAAAATCTAGGAATTTGCATCAGATATGAGTAAAAAGATGGTGCCAAAATTTACCTTCAAAATGGCTGGGATACAAAATGGTGATATAGTATGTTTACAAAAGACATTAACAAACAGAGAGTAGGTCACAATATTATCACATAATCTTCTTTTTTCAATTGTGAACTAAGAAAATTTACTTTATGTAGGATTCAAAAACTTGATTATAAAGGACGAATCCATAATATTCCTCGATTTTATGAATCGATATCAATGAATATTATCGTCCAGTTCAAATCAAAACTCGGATATAAGGACCCGATACCTGAATTTACATTAGTTTTAAATAAGGATATGACTTATAAAAGTGTACGTTAGATTATCTTATTGAAAATCTATTTTCTTTATTAAGGTTTATTTTGTCTAACCGAATTATCTTTCTATAAATATACGTAGGTTACTAGACAAGTCGCTATTTATCTTAACACAGATCCTTTAAGGTTGCGATTTATGACGTCAGGATATCTAAAAAAAGAAATTAAAGAAACAACTAATCAAACTTTATCAGAGATACTTCGATCTTCAGCATGGTTGTATTATGAGATACTTGACGATAATATATGAAATCCTTCAAAAAATACTATAATTTTTTTTTTAAAAGCAGAATTTTAAGTTGATTTAAGTATTGAATTAAAGAAATTAATAATCTATCTAAATTTTTATTGTATTTCTTATTTAACTACTCTTTTTTTTTTATAAATTTTTTAAATTATTAATAAATTGTATATAAATTTAATCTCAGAGATGATAACAAAATAAGAATCTATTCATTATAACGATTTTTTAAGCTTTTTTAGGGTGTATTTTTTTAGTACACCGTATAAGAATGAAATAACGCTCGTAGGCATCATTTTAAAAATCAGGTTCAGCGGAATAGTGTACGTAAATTGTTTCGAATTAGCGCCCATGCGACATTTTGAATTAACATGAATCCCAATATAGTTAGTAATTGTACCGGTTGCAATAAAGTTTACCTGAGTAGATGTATAAACATTTAGTTAAGTATTTAAAGTAAGCTATTTAAGTTCATGAATGTTTATGTTTTTTTTGAAAGCGGTGTCTTTCATTTTTTAGTAATCTTTAAATGATTCAAGTTCTTAAATATTTATTATTCTAAAAAGAGTGTTTATTGATCCAAATATTTTAAATAAGTTGTAAGTTTATGATATTTATTATTTATGATTGATTTTAGATTGCGATTAAAGCTCGCTATATGTTCTATTAAAAAATAGTGTCAAGCACGGACATAGGCACTATGTTTTATAATATGTGTTCTGTGATTATAACGATAAAGATTAATCAGGTTCACGAAAAATTACTATTTTTAATACTGTTAACTCATGAATATTTATTATTTAGTTTAATTCCATTAATTTAGTATGTGAATATAAAGAACATTTTTATTGTTGAAATAAGCTTATGAACATTTCCCCCCCTAATTTCATTTATATTAATTAGAGTTCATGCGTATAAAAAATATTTATCAATCTAGATTATTCTAATTTTATGAATATTTACTGTTTAATCGCATTGATTTAGCATGTAAGTATAAAGATTTATTAATCTAATATTTAAAGCAAACTATTCGAGATCATAAATATCTATAATTTTTTAGCAATTTGGGTATAAAGAATATCTAGGAATTTAAAATGTACTATTCAAGTTCATGATCATCCACAATTAATCTCATTTTTAATTCTAAGAATTTAAGTTATTCAAATTCATAAATGTTTCACTATTTAATTAAATTTCATTTTT